CCTGCACCCTGGAGAGACACCAGGGGGCTAAGAAGTCGGTTGAAAAGTCCTGCGTTGACTGCTTGGGAAAAAAAAAAAAAAAAAAAAATTTCTAGGTAATAATTTTTGATTAATGATAAATAAAAAATTCCAAAAAATTTTAGCAATATATTGTATGTTTATGTGAATAAATATATTATCTATTGGTTTTTTTTTTAAAAGGGTTAACCTGCTTATCATAATGTGGCAATAATTAAAAAAATTGTTTTTTTAAAAAATTTGTTACCTTTCGATAAAAAATAAAAATATTTAATTCTTATTAAAACTATTAAGAATTTTTTTTTACAATTTGTAACAGTTAAATATTATACAATTACTAATGATATAAAGCGTAATTTTTAAAAGTTTAAACGAAAGATTATATATAAATAAATTTAATTAAACTAATTTTAAATGTATAAAAAATATAAATAGACTAAGAATGCGCAAAAGAAGAAAAAATGAAGCCCCAGACCAATGCAAAGCTCGTACTTTACGTGATCGCCTAAATAAGAGGAAAAGAGAATTAAAAACTGATGAGCAACATGAAATGCGTTTGGTTAAAGACCGTGAAAGAAAGCAACATAAAAGATCCATCTTAAAATCAATTGATAAATATCAGAACCATCAAGAAGAGGTTGAATTGGAATTAAATTCAACAACTTACCCAATTTGATCGCAGTAAAATGAATAAACTTAAGCATAAGTCTTCTGTCAATTAACTTGCATGACGCATTAAACATTATAAACATAATATAATGACATCACATAACGTTGCTTCAGACCCACAACTGGTTCCATTTAATTATTTATTGGATTTAATTAAAAATTTTTTTTTTAAATTTGTCCAAAGACTTTTGTAATAGACACTATATTAATCACAAATATTTATGAATTTGATAAAAATATATATACGTATGTAAAATATATCGATAATTCTTTAAACTCAAGTTTTCAAAATTTACTATCACCAGGTAATCGCAATTATTGAATATTTATGGTTCATTTTTACCCTAATTTTATTAATTTATGCCAATTCATGAATCACTATAATACAGGTAAAAAAGTCACAACTAAGCAATGTTTGCCAAATAATCTTTTACTTCTGAGGGGGTTAACTTTCTGAACAGTGGAGATTCCTTTCCTTCTGTGAATCCCGTCGAACCGCCTCCTATAATACCAATCTCAATTGAATTTTCAGTCATCTGACCTTCAAACCCTTCTTTGAG